AGGTGAATTTTGGTGGTAGGCTTGTACATTGTAGACAAACATTTACACACCAAATACATGCAGTGACAGTGGCAGGGCTCTATTACGAGTATCTAAGTGATAGCAACTTTTTATTCATACCAACAGAACACTAATATCACATGTACAGTTGTTCAAGCACACCCTGGGAACTCAGCATTTGCTGAGACCTTTTTATCCATATCCTGTTTTCAGCCATGGTAGCTTGCCATCCTCTTTCTCATTCAAACCATTGCTTAGTTTTCTTTTTCCAAGATTTCTTGTCTCTTATTTCATTCTGTTATGAACTGAGCACAGAAGTACCCAGCATAGTATAATTTTTTATGTATTCTCCTGATATAGAATCAGAATGGGACCTTCAGGTCCCAAACCCCTTGCACAATCCTTCCCACTTCTTGCACTAGCTCTGAAACTCTTGCTGATGCAGCAAAGACGATCAGATTTTCTAGTTGAGAAGAAGGATTTTCACTTTTCCTTTTCAAGTCAGTCTCCCACCAGTCTTTGCTAAACATGCTAAATCATCTCAGTGCAGACTGGGCCAGTAAAGCGAGAGGCAAGGCAGGAACGTGAATAGAGAGGGCGGAAAGGAAGGACTACAAATTCCTCCTTTTCAGTGGCAGGAAACCAAGAGCATCACAGAACAGCAGAAGTTGGAAGGGACCTGTAGAGATCATCTAGTCCAATGCCCTGGCTAAAGCGGGTTCACCTAGAGCAGGCTGGAGACACTGAATAGCAGGAAACGCGCTCGATTTGCTCATGAAGGATGAAACACCCTGGAGAGCTGCATTAGCACCATCCAGGTAACGTCACAGTCCTGGGAGGGGAAAGGGCCCAGAATGTTCATCTGAACAGACTCAACCCTGACCTACCTGTCAGAGAGCACTCCAAAAGGCTCCAAGAAAATAGGTTCCCACCTGCTGAAGACAAGACAGACGTTTTAAGGTCCTGTCATAGAGATTTCAAATGCTAAAAGACAGACCAGTGTCAGGGAAGCAAGTGGTCAGTGTTCCAGGATTCCAGACTGCGACCTGTGTCCTTGAGGGTATCACTGTGGCTTTCAGTTCTTTGCTGGATTCCTGTTCCACAAAAGCAGAACCTCCTGTAAACAGCCCTTTCACCAGCAGAGGCCGAGAGAAAAACCACACTTCAAAATATGAAGTTACACTTGCAGAGAGCATGGATGTAAACTGAAGGGAGTTAAATACAAACTAATTACTGCCCCTGACACACACCTTACGAGCTCCTGTGGAGCATTATACCAAAAAGACTGGTCAGAGGCTTCTAAATCTGATCTCTGCACTGACATCATACACTGCATGATCAACTGATTTTGCATTTAGTTATTGGGTTTTTAAATACAAAATAACTACCCAAATGAAACCCACACAGCTCTCTAAGGAAGCCACTTTATGACACGAATTACTTTGTAACTACAAATTTACTGAAAATGCTCTTGCTTTGCCATTTAAAAAAACCCTCACTTTATTTAAATCTAGAGATAATTTCTTAAGTTGAATCAACTGCTCAAAATCCCTCAATCTCCTTTAAAAAGTACTTAAGTGACCTGAAGGAAAAAAACATGGCAGGCAAACAGAAAATCCTTCATTGCTACTCTCAGTAAAATGAAATAAAAGCAGTGGCTAATTCTTTGCACATTATATTTTAATATTGTAAAATAAAGCTTGTGATATTCCTAGTCTTCCAATTTTTGAGGGTATTTTAAAGCCTGGCGGTTCGGGAAGTTCAGAGAAGTCCTGGAGCCCTTAGGCCAGCCAGTACCTGGCACCCAGAGCCAGCCCCAGGGCACCCCTCCCAGCTGGGGATGGGGCAGCACCGGCCGAGTGCCCGGGTCCCGCTGCTCGGGGTGACCCCTCCCCACAGCAACCAGCAGGACTCGGCCACTGCTGGTGAAAGGAACTGGGTCTACAATAAAGTTTATTCACACCCGTTTTTTTCAGGCTGATCAGGATTTGTGAGTGTGCAAGCACAACGCGATGCTGAACTGCTCTGCCAGAGGAGGCCAGAGCTACCCTGGCTTTCCCCCCGAGCTAGCAGTGCTACAGCTGCACTGTCCCAAAGCTTTTAAGACCAACAGGACATGTCCTGGGAAACAGGAGTGCCACACGGGTGGGGTTTTTTCCCCCTTGGTTTTAAAACATCGTTCATTTAAAAGAAATATTCACATAGCAAGCCCACCACCACTTCCCTTCCACCCTCACCATCCCCAAAAAAACCCCACCAAGAACAGGACTGGAAAGTCTTATTATCAGCTATATTTAAACCTTTCCTAACAAACATTTGTTTAATCTGTTCTTTAAATTTTAATTATTGGTATGGGAATCTTAAGGTCTCCTTAGACTGTACCCTTAAAACCTGAGAAGTAAACTTTGTCAGACTTTCAAATAAACTAAAAATCAAACATCCAGAAGAGTATTTATAACATATGATACACTAATTTAAAACCCTAATTTTTTTCACAAAAGAGGTTTTTAGGTATGAAGTACCTTACTTTTTCCAAAACAGAAGCCATCTCTTTAAAAAATTGCACACAACCAAAAACAATTACTGGCAGGAAACAGCAGAAGTTTCATTTAACAGCCCTGACATGTCAACAAATAGGAAATTTCTTCCCAATACTGCAAGAAAACAAGAATTCTGCATCTGAAACTCCCTGTTTAATAAGTGAAGTATTTGGCAAATGGCAAAGAACAACGGTAAGGAACTATTTGTTCTTCTGTGGGAAAGCACTACATCTTAGTGATGTATTTTTTTTTAAGAAGCTATTTTTTTTGGTTGTTATAACAGAAACCCTCTAGAGAAAAGAGAAAACCCCTCACTATTACCCACCACAGCTTACTGGAACTGACAGTTTTGCCTCAAACAACGCCAGGAATGGTGCTTCTGCACTCCACCATGAAAAGGTCCACACACATTTCCATTCAAGGGTAGTGTTCAATTTTGAAACAAGAATTTATTGTGTTATAAAGACACTAAACACAAAACAAAGTGTTTAACAACATGAACATTGACACAAAATAAAAGCAAGATCATTTCAAGCCAATTCTGTAACCATTTAATGTGAGAAATTCCAAATGAAAGGAAGTGAGGTACACAGGGTCACCCCACAGCAAGGGTGGCACCGGCTGCGCCTCACCCCGGCCCTGCGCCAGGACACTGCAGCTGTCAGAATAGTTGCATTATTTTGAGGGCTCGAGTGGTGTACAGGCTTTGTCCTGGCCCTCAGTGTATAGGTGAACTTAACCACAGATCTACAAGAGAACCAACGGAGGCATTTCTACTGTAAACTGAGAGACCCCAGGTACGTTCTCTCCTAATGCACATCAGATTTCTTCTATTTCAGCACACTGCGGGGAGGAGGAGGAGGGTGTATTAAAGAACAGCATAAATTTTGTTACTGAACTTCACTGTAGTGCATGTGATGGCACAGGCCAACAAGACGTGTGATGATCTGCACTACAAGGCCCATCTTCAACAGAACAGATACTGGCACAAAGCTCCCCTGAAACCACGTCCTGCACTAAGGCCAGCCACCCCCTGGAAAGATCCATGAATCTGAGAAGAGGGATTTGAACCATTTTTTTTTTTTTGAGACATTACCTTAAGGTCTCTTTCCTGTGGATTATTTGATAGGATCCTTTATGTGAGCCATTCATACATGAATTTCTCAAAGATTGGTCAAACATTTCAATCAGTACAGAGCAGTTAATCTAACTACACAGATGAATTACCAGATTACTGCTCTTTCATATGAATCATTTCCACAAATAACCAGTTTAATAATAATAATAACAACTCACAATAATAAAAATTTGCTAAACAAGAAGTTAGGAGCAGAACTATTTCATTTGTTTTAAATGATTATTTTTAGTTCTTAAAAGAAACTGAATTCTATGTCTTAAAGGCTCATTGTGAAAAATATATAGACACATCAAATTTATATCCAAAGCTAGATTTTACCCTTGAGTTTTAAAAGGCCAAGAGATATTTTCGATACAGTAGAAAAAATAGCAGTTCCTGAAGTGTACTGTAACCTCACCTCCCTGGCAGTGCCCAGCCCAGCTGCTGCTCAGCACACTCCTCTGAAGCAAAGCCACCTTCGCTGGCCCCCGAGAAGCAGCTGTGCCTCTCACAAAGCTCCGCAGCGCCGCGTAACACACAAGGATCTACAAGGCTAGAAAACCTGTCAGTCATCATACAGCAGTAAGAAAAAACCCAAACATGTATTTTCAGCCAATTATTTTGTATTTGTCATTGTATTTACTCACCCTGGGTAGGCTGTGGGTTTTTTTGGCTTGCCTTTTTTTTTTTTTTTAAACCAAGTAGTTACTGGATTTAGACATTTGTGCATTATTAGCTGCTTGAATTTTCTTTTTATTTTCTTTTTTTTTTGAGTGCAACAATAAGGCAACAGTAAAAAAAAAAGTTATAGAAATTTTGCAAGTGTGTAAAGGTATTAAGTTTATAAAAGTGCTTCCTAAAAAGACAACCTAATTGCAGTATCAAAATATTACAGAGTGGTGAGAACAACTACCATTTCAATAACTGTTGCTTCACAGAAAACCATCAATCTGATTTTAGGCTTTTCCACCTTTTTTGGCAAAGTAAAAGCCTAGGGAAAAAAAAAAAACTTAAACAAAGAAGGGGTATGGCTGCACAGGACAAGCAAGTTAAGAAAATATACTTTAGTCTAAACTTAAATAAGAAGGTCCACACTTTTTTGTCAAAACATTAAGCCTCTGTCAAAAATGTATTTTTTTTCTATTTATAGTACAGGATTAAAAGACAAGATGACGCTTACAAGATAAAGAAATAATTTACATGAAAATATTTTCTGACAAAGCTTTTCAATCAAAATATTGTTTTGTAACATTCAAACATGACACACAACACCAACAGAAAGAGCGAATGCAGACAGAAGGTGTTCTGTGGATTGCCTCCCAACACAGAAACCCCCAGAGGCGGGTGTGGGCACAGGGCTCATGCTGATGGCTGGCAGGGAAGGACAGTGTGTGATCCGCCCGGGCAGAGCTGGGGCACGAGTTACAAGCCCAATTACAGACTGCAGAAAGTTCAGTTATACCACGGCCATCCTCTCCCATCCCCAAAACAGATTCTGGATTAACTCACTCATACCCTAAATTACTCATACCTTTGCTTCAGAGATATAACTATGTACAAAAAGTAGTTTTATTTCACCATAGGGATAACATTGTACCTCTCTGCCAATGTCACGTGAAAAACCTTCCATGTCAAAACAATTTGACAGCAGATAAAAATTTCATAAATATGCAATGAACTTATTACAGTCCTTCAGCTAAGCATGGTAACTCATGCTGCTAGTTCTGTGATCACAGTGCATAGAATCCAAATAGAAAAGAATGGGATGGCTTTTAAGGTAATGGTAGATCCCTTGCTTATAATCCAGATATATCCCAAACTTTCATAAGCTCTGTCATGCAGCAATCTTTTTTTGTGGCTGGAGCGAAACCTTTCCCTGGCACAACGTCCATTGCCGGCAATGGATGCACCAAACTGCCGAGGAGCTCAGTGGTATTGCACAAGGTATGAAGACCCGGAATTCTTCCAAAAGCTCAAAACAAAAATAATGGAATTATTCTGACATTTCTGGACACCTGCATTAATACTGTATGACTAACAAAAGCACGTGGGCTGCACGGCCTGAGCCAGCGATCAGCATGCGCCCAGCCGCACACGAGCGGAACGCAGTCGGAGGTCGTCCCCATGGCCCACAGCTCGCTTCCAGTCAAAGGCTAGAGGTCAAAGACTGAATGATCAAAGTGCTCGTTTTCTCAGTAGGACTATCTTCTGCTACGAGGATCACCAAACGGTGGCATCAACACGTGTCATCTTTAAAACAAAAGAAGAGCGTTTATAGACAACACAGAAACAGCCCAGGTCCAAACGAGCAGGATGCTAAGAGCAGAAGCAATGCCTAGGACAGACAGCAGCAGGCAGTGGGGACACACCCACTGGGGCATCCTGGGGCTCTGTTCTGTGGCAAATAGTGATGGACCTGGTGAAATCCAGAGCTTCCAAAATACACACACGCTCCCAGGTATATTACTATTAGCAAGTATTCCAGTAAAAGGCCAGTAATTTCCACACTCAGTATTTAGAAACCCACTCATCAGGAAAACAGGAGACCACATATTTTGCCCCCTGGAAGTAAAGCAGGTCCCCTCCAGTTACTGAATCCAGAGATCCTTTTAGAGGACTGTGAAGTGATACGAGCAGGCAGAATGGGCTTCTCCTGATGCATTCTTAACCCTTTGTACATATACACACATATGTACATTCATTTATTTCTAAAAACCAACACAAACAATAGCTAGAACTCTGCAAAAAAAAAAAAAATAGGTTACTACTATAATCTTAAAATCTTAAACCTGACAGTAACTTATGTTCACTAAGTTGTAGATACTGTGACTGGAATGAATATATTACAAAAAATTGTATTCTGTGCCAATCTTTTCTGCATTATGCTCAACATTAAAGTAAATATGTGTCTGTGAAAGCCCTCCCTTTGAAACTTTCTCTTCCACACATTAACCTGCAGTGCACTTGTATCTGTTAACAAAGCAGACTTACTGTCTGGTTATTTTTAATGCAGTTGCTTGTAACCTCACACACTTAGAAAATGGACTTGCCTAAACAGCATTTTTTACTGTTCACAGATTTAGCATGTATAAAGTAGTAGCAAACAATTCTACATTCTCACTGGGACACATTACATCATCAATACTTTTACATGAAGAAAAACTTCTTCCTTCTGAGAGTAGGGTACTGGACAGGTGAAAGAGATTGGACAAGGGTGCAAGAGAGACAGAAAGGATATTTAAACTGTGTACCAGAAGTTCAGGTCAAATACCAGAGAAAACACTTACTACTTAAAAAAACAACCCCAAAACAAACCGACCAACCCCCAAAAAACAAAGGAGGTGTTGATTGAAAACACACCACTGCTGCCTTCTTCCACAGAACACTGCCCACTGGCACCACCAAAGCCAGGCAACAGCTCCATGAAACCAATGCCAGCCTGGGGGCCCACGAAAACTGCATCTGGAAGATCCTTCTGTCTTTAACACATGATCAACTCTCAGATTCAAACTGAACATGAAATTCAATGCACAGCTGAAGCAGAGGCTGGGTAGGTCAGACAATCTAGAACTATGTTTAATTATCAAAGATCAGGCATTTTCACACAGGGCTTCTGAGAACATCAGTTTGTAGCAAATAAGGCTCCGTCACTCTGCGTATGGAACGAGTTGCTTTGTTGGGGCAGGGATTAAATCAGAGATTAAAAACTCTGTAATAAGCTAAATGCACAAAGACACACGTTTACATGTCAGAGCATATCTCCAAGTGCCCCTTTATCCCTGTTCATACTGGCCTGCTTTACACCAGCTCTCAACCCTACACAATTGACTCACAGTAAATAAATTTCAGGCACCTACTGGGAAAAAAAAAATCCTTCCAATGCATCTATTAAAAGTGATGACAGTCTTCCTCCTTCCTCTTCAAAACAGACTCCATTCCATTTCAGGCTCAGCCAGTCCAATGGCTAGCTGACAACAGAAGGGGCAGAACCACGTATTTACTAGCATCGCTGTTTACCCCTGGACAAGTGGTTTTCCTTCTTGGTTGGGATTGATTTTTCTCCCCAATTTACTCAGCCCAAAGTGTTTCAACCACAAAATTAGACAATTTCGTTGAAGCAGAAGCAGACAATGAACATCACAGAATCACCTTTTCCAAGGGCTTGCAAACCTGAGGTGTATATAGTTCTTTTCCAGAGAGAGGTGGTTAAATTAGCAGGCAAGCTACACTTCCCATTTTAGTGTAAACCATCAATTCTTCAAACCCATCAAGAAAACACTGAAAATTTAAAGATCGTGCCTTAGCAGTCTAGTTTTACATCCACAGAAGAGATACAAAATATTTGTAATTTTGAGAAGGAGCAAGTGACATGCAAAACTTTAAGGAAAATCCCTCTAGCATTTAAGAAATTTTTTGTCCAAAGGACATCAGGCATGTTTTATTTCTTAATATAAGAATTTAATGGTGGGGGAGAAAAGCCCAATCAATTTTTAATCATGACCTATTTTGTAATTAGTACTTAAAAAGGAAGTACTACTTTTTTTTGGTCAAAAAAACAGATGAAACTTTTAGAAAGCAAACCAGTATGAGTTATTTACAAACACTGACTTGCCTTCTCTTGCCTCTAATTGAATTTAATGAGTAAGAAATCAAAGTAGTATTTGCAGACTGTTCTCCTTGATAGACTTCAATCCTGAACCAAAATGTGACTTGTACAGATTCAAAGTAGACAGAACACGTTTTAATCACAAGATAAAGTAAGCAAATGAAACTGTTTCTCTTTAAAAATAACTAGCAAGTGAAAATAAAAATAGTTGATAAAAACTCTTCCAAAATTGTCCATTATGAGAAAGCTAAGCTAGAAATGAAGCAGCACCAAACACGTGTACAAGAGTGGGAAAACAGAAAGAGACAGTGACTAGTGCACAATGTGGTGAAGATGAAACACAGCCTTGCAGGCAACAGGATTATTATTATTCCTGGAGTTGATGCTTAAAACAACATAATGCACATGACAAGCAGTCCTGAGTTTCTTCAGTATCTCCTAAACCCATGACATACAGCACTCCTCTAACTAAAGTCACCTTGTTTTAGAGAGAATAATTACTACAAGTATTATGAAAAACAGTTTTGTTCTTGTTACATTACCCTGTATTAAATACTTGCTGAGACCCATGTGGCTTAGGAAAATTTGAAGTTCCTCTTATTAAGACATCCACAGATGTCTTTAAAGAATCTGCAGGTGAAGACTTTGGCATTTGCCTCTCCAGTCATTAACTCCCACTGTCTCAAAATACCTGATCTCAACTGAGGTAGGGGGCAGAATATAACAGGGGGTGGGGAGGCAGTGGAAAACAGGATGTCTTATGCTGGAGCCTTCCACAGAAGGCAGCAATGGGATCAACTCCTCCTGCACCACTCTGACATACTCCAGCACACCTACTCTAACACAACCCTTCCCAAAATGCATGGGCTTCTGATAAGCACCATCTGTACAGCAAGAAAGGACTGGCCAACAAGAGAGAAGAAAAGCACAGCCCATCTCTACCCCTACTTCCTTCCTTCCTCATCAGTGAACAGGACAAGCACAGCCAGCCAACCTCAGCTCTGGGAAGAGGATGACACATGCTGAGGCAGAAGAAAGGACAGTATAAAGCCAGACAGAGAACACATGGAGAGGAAAAAACCACACGCACACACAAAAATACCCAAACCAAACCAATAGAGCAGTATTTTACATTTAGATATTTTTAAAAATTGTCTACATGTAGAATCTTATTACTACGTTATTGACTATTAGTTTCTAAGAGCCTGTAAGTCTCTTAAGCTGTCTCACCTTGGAAGTTCTGATTATTAGTGGAAATCTATTAAAACAGATAGCTGTTTGCAAACATATAGGCATATATTAATTGCTGTAAAACCTTTTAAAGTGTTATCGCAAACAACAGAATACCTTTGGTTTAGATCTACATCTAGTTTCATTATGGACTTTCCCCAACCCTAAACTTAAGACTTGTCATGGAAAAATACAGCTTAGAAGACATTTCCTTCAAATTCAATCCTGAAAGTTAAAAACATAAAAACCTCTGCTGCTTAAATTTCCATTAGGAATTACTAAAATGAGAAAAAAAAATATCATGGCAGAATATCTTAGAAACAGGATTTTAATATTTTTTTTAAAATTTAATAAGAGAGTTTAAGGCTTTGAGAGCATTTATCCTGCCTTCCTACATTTTAAGTGCCTTCAGTCTGAAAAAAAAGCTTTAAAAATTCCTGGTCCTAGTTAAATACTTACCATGATACCACCATTTTGTTTTCTTTGGATTCTTGTTACATGTTCTTACATAAAATGAGTTATCTGGAGGTCGCCTCTGCAACAGAAGAAAAGACCTACAAATAATAAAACAATCCTCATATTGCAACACATGAGCTATTTGGTAAGCTTAGGAAAGGCTACCACATGAATGCAGTGAAAATGAGGTAAGAGGCAGGGCTAGACCTTTGTCAAGAAATATCTCTTATGGATCCAGGTAACAACTCTTACTGGAGATACTCCAGGCAAAAAAGGAACTAAAAAATACCAAACAGTCTGGAGATAGATAGGGGAATAAAAATAAAGCAATCCACAAGAAAGGAACAGCTGTTGTTCAAAAATAACCCCACCTCAATTCCTGTGCAGTGACAGATTACATACAACTCACATCCATAGATTTCAGCTCGGAGCGGGTGAAAAAATGGACATAAATATCTATATCTGATCAATACTTCAGATTCTTCAGCTTTCTTCATGAGTGTTGTTATGCAAACCAAAGTCACAGGATACAATATAAAGCCCTGTTGGGGTGGTTTTCCTAGCAGACATACGTGCCCAGAGCTGGCTGGGATGTGACACAGACAGCACAGATGCACGAGCTCTGACCACATCCAACCTCCACAGACAGCCCACTCTGGGAGGAGTGGTCAGGAGTAAAAGGGTAGTCTCTTCTATAAAAAAACAGTCTAAGGGATCACTGCCACTCATCTATGGCCAAGAAAGCAGCTTAACATGTTTTACTTTTATGAAATGGAAATGAGCAAGATCACTGAAACAGTACCCTGCAAAGCCTGGGACCATCTGCACAAGAGACACTTCAACAGCCATTTCACACTGCCTTTGGAGACAGGGCAACTCACAAAGAGTCCTCCCAAAACAGGACTAACTTCACAGTTAGCACAGCCAGACCAATTCCACTCACTTCTCTTTTCCAGTGATGCATGAGCAGGTTACCACCAACACAGCGACCAAGTACTCACTGCACTCTTTGTTTGGCAGTTCTAGTTTAGTATTTTTTCAGTAGTAGTAGAAATGTAGATATAATAGCTCTGCCTATTTCAGAAATTAAGATCTCATTTTGCAAACTATTAGCTTCTACTTATTCTACTTCAACAGTGCTAAAAAAGCCCATACCTTTTCTTTGCAGCTGGAAAGCATGCTAATAATGCTAAGACAAACAGATTGCACTGAGAGAGCTGGAGACCAGTCTTCTGTTAGAATGGATAAACAGATATGACCATTGCTATAAACATGAGGATGAACAGGAATATTGTCTCCAGTAAACATGACCTAAAAAAAAAGCCAAAAACAAAAACAGAATAAACTTAATTGTGATTTATTATCCACCATACTGCTTTTGGGAAAACAATAGTATCTTATTTAAGAAGTGGATCTCCTATATTCACTTACACTAAATAATACACTTTATCACATTAGGTTCATCAATTTTTGGAAGGTATTAAATGAAACGTAAAATAAAACAATGGAAGCCTAAATATATAGTGAAGTTAAATAAATGGTTAAAGGCTGGGGGTTCTCCTACAAACGTTTATACGGCAGAGAAAAATGAAAAGGTAACAGTGTAAAGACATCAAACTAAACTTTTTATATCTTGCAGCCCCCAATCTTTCATGTCCCAAAGAACAGAGCTGCCCAGCCAGAACACTGTATTTTAATTACTTCATAAGCCACATTAATATACACCAGAAAACACAACGAGATTCACCAATAAGTATTTCTATAACCCTGGACACAATTGAAATTAAGTTCTGGACGACTCATCCAGGTTCCAGCATCAATCCTAGTAACTGTAAAACAGAGGAACTGTACAACTGAAGTGTGTTATCATACAGGAAATTTTTTTTATCATTATTTCAAATGGAACATGTTTTTACTTGAAATGGATCAAAACAGAAGAACAGCATTGAGAACCATAACTCTTCTCTAACACAAGATGATATCACAGTCAAGAAAAGGCTAGAAAAGCAATTCAGACAACTGTTGCTCTACCTCAAGTTTTTGTTGCACACACAGCTGGCTCAGGATCAACAGAAAGGGAGTAAAAACAAAACCTCTGTAGCATCATTATCCTCCTGAGCTTCTTATCCAACATAGCCACTGTCTGTATGCAATGACATAATAAATCTCTACCACCCACAATAATACCCAGAAGCCTCTTAAGTGTTTCCTAAGTTATACAGACACACGGATGTGTCCAGCTACACACACACGTACAACACACCCACCCCATCCCTGACCACAAGAGAGAAGAATCATTTTCATCACGTAGCAAACTGAAACTAGAGAACTTAACCCATTTGACAAATGGCAGGCAGGTTTCTAAGGCAGCAGAAAAACTGGATGCAGAATGATCTTTCATAGATCTTTAACTGATATTTCTTAAGCATTGAAGAGCTTACCTTCATAATCCAGTAACGTATTCCACGCCTAACTAATGCCTTCCTTTTATGGGAAAACCAGAACCAGACACACTAGGTAAGTAAAACCATGTGCACTATGACAGACAACATACACTTAAAGCTGAACACAACCAAGTGATTAAGCAGCAGCAGTGTAAACTGCCAGTTCACACTAAGCAGATTTGGGGGATAGAGGATGACAACTCAGAAGTTTGTAATATCAAATAAACTTACTGCACAGCAACATTTTTATAACAGAAATTCTAGCCATCTACAACAATCAAATACCCAGTACTTAACTTTCTTAATTGTTTTCTGTGCTAAAAGCCAGTGCACATGTACAGAGCTAATTTGCCATTTTACAATAACTTGCACTCAGTACCTCCCATCTCAGTTACAGCCACTGGATCTGCAGGCCTCTCAAACATGCCATGTACCTATGGCAATCCCTACCACAAGCACAGCATTTCTCCAACTGTATTAACAATGGCAGCAGAGAAGATACAAGAGGCTTAAAAAAACCAAAAAAAAAATAGAAAAAAAACCCTGTAAACCAAGAGGGTACAAAGACGTGGATTGTTGTTTACTCCTACACAACAGTGAAGGGGATCCTCCACTTTACCCTGTGTGACACTTTCACATGATGCACCCACCTCCAAGAAGCCCCCAGCTCACAGTGCCCTTCACCAAGGGAGCTGTCCTAGCATTATACCTCACTGCAGAGGATTTTTAAAAAGAAAGGCATCTGCACAACGTGTTTAATACAAGTTAGAATATTGAAGTATTTACACCAATACTAACTAGACTCACATCAGGACAGGTGGACACTGCACTCAGCCTGTGCCATGTGGCTATAACCTGAAGGCTGTGTTAAGCCAGAAGGAAGAAGCAGTTACCTGAGGTGAATCAAAAGGATACCGACTACTAAACTTAAATAGAAGCTGAAATTTCTCCCCTTCATATAGTGTTCCTGGAGCACCTTCCATGTCTACAATCCACCTAGTGAACATGGAAAAGAGTTGTTAGCATTGTGCAGTGACAAATTAAAATTTTACTTCTCTATCAGATCAATTACCAACTGCAGCTAAAATGTTCTAAACTCTCCATTAGTATCATAATCATCAAGGTGAATAACCCACTTCTGTCTTCCATCTGATTGGAGTTTTACACATTAGAGCAATACAATAAGGTGAAGATTCAGGAAGAGACTACCAAAATGCTCTGACAGGATTTCCAGCAGACTTGTCAAGTAAGGCAGTTGAGCTTTTTCAGAACAGCAATGTGTTCAGAAAAGTCAACATCTCCTCCAGCTGGCAATCCTGATAACCCTATTCTCCACCTCTCCACCCTCATATATTTAAGCTGTACACATTTTTACAACTTTTAGCTTCCACTCTACTATGCTCCTTCTCTGCTGGCCTGCCAGCTGTCACACTCCTCAGGAGGAATGCAGCTTCAACAGCACCGTGGTGATGGCTGTATTTGTGTCCCATATTTCAATTTTGTGAAGATCCCTCAAATTTAACTTAGCTGTACTTCAGATCACTTACCTCTTCTTATGCCTTCTGCTTTTATATTTATACACGTGGTACACCACCACTCTTCAGTTTTGTGATGTCCTGGTCATTTAGAACCCCCACTTTCGTGGGTTTTTTTTTAAATAGTTTCATTTCCTCAGCAGAAGATAGCTCTGCGTGGACATTGCTCCTTTTATGGTCAAGGAATCACTAGAATCCATCTTTCCTGTGTGCTTTACAGCTTAGCCATCTCAAATTTCTAACCCTTGTATATTTAAAATACATGATTGCTTAATGTTTCAAATTACTCAGTTACATCATGGTATCCAATTATTTTGTTCAACATCTTTCAAAACCAAGATAGTGCTGCTACACAAATCTTTACTGCACCAGTTCAAACTGCAACTTGATTAATGAATTCAGAACATGCTGCTTGGCACTAAAAACCCTCAAAGAGAACACCCTCCTGTTACTTGTGACATGAAGCTTCTTAAACAGTGACAATTCCAAAATCTAGGGGCAGTAATCAGTAAGTTTCTATTTGCAGGTTATTGAAAGGTATAAAAATTGTACGTACAAAAAAACAAATTATCAGGTAGCACTCTGGGAACAGAGACTTCATAAGAAAATGGAAATCCACAAATAGAAGATAAAAAAGAATATTTTTTCCTTTTCCATCTCTTCATCTCTGGTAAAAAATTTCACTTAACAGTTGTTTTCCATTTAAATGAGTGAAAAAAAACCAAACCACTTGCAATATTAGATCAACTCCTTTTTCCAGAGAAATTTAATTATTTTGCTTCCAAATGAAAAGCCAAAGCAAAGCAAGAAACACAAGTGTTAATCTAGCAATTGTACAGTGGCTTATTATTATTTGTATCAAATTCTAGAAAGTGTTAAATTTTTTAAAATTGTATTAATCTCATAAGTATCACAAGATCCAGCATGACTTAAAAAGCAGTAGCAGGAGTTTAACTTGGTACACACAGAGCTCAGAAACGCTGTATGTGACATGGCTTGAGTGCCACCACCAAAAATGCAGATGGGAAGCAACTTCAGAAGTCACCTCTGTGTTGTTTTTAAACTGCCTGTGAATCAATAACATAGTCCTGAACATACAGCCTGAGACTCATACTCGTGTAGACGTTTACATCTGCGAAGAATTTTTAATATTCCTTTAGAATTAAACTAAGAAAGTTACCTAACAGAAATGTCAACAGTCTAAATCTTCTGAGTTTTAGTCAATTAGAAAATAGTTTAAATTAACACCAGGAACAAACCCCTCTATTTCAATGGACAGAACACAAAGATTTAACCATGTTTCTCTTTCCCCTTCCCTAATCACAGTAAAAAAATACAGCAGGGATGAAAGTACAACAAATCTACTTAGAAACTTCTGAAAGAGCAAAGTTATCTTTCTGTAAAGCAAGTGATTGTGACTGAAATTAACAGCTACGAAATATACCAACACAAATAATGTAGAAACTCTAAACCAGGCACTCCATTGGTTCAAAAAATCTGGAGGGGTTTTAGAGGTTAGCAGCTATGAAAGACTGTAAAATCATTTTATTATAAAATACAAAGCTTTTAACAATTGACATTTTGTTAGACAGTAAAATGCCTAATAAAAACTTAATGAATTGACCATCCATATCCTGAGAGTGTCTAGCACATTACTGCAATGTGCTCATTAAGTAGAACAACGTTTCACTCCCTAGACTAAGAATAAAAATTCAGAATGTTACTTGGAATAAGTGGTGGAAGTGGTATGCAGAGAACTTCTCCTTACTTAAGCTTTTAAGCTGGAGAGCAAAAATAAGACAGTACATATACTTACTGTGTAATTGAATTCTGTACACTCTTTTCGTTCAGAGTCATTCCTGGAGGTGGATCATTTTGCAATGCCAATAGTTCTTTTTGTAATCGTTTCTATAAAGAAATTGTACAGAATATTTGAAATAATATAGTTCAACAACAAACATGCACACCAAAGTGTTCAATTACTGGAAGGTAAAAGCAGTTTTATTTGAAAATTTAAATGCAAAATGCAATTGAAAGGTGAGAAAGACGACTCCTCTCCTTCAAACGAAACCGAAAAGTCACAGGCAAAAAGTCTGTCGTGGTTTAACCTCAGCTGGCAGCTGAACACGGCCGCCCTCGCCCGCTGCCCCCCAGGAGGGGAGGAAGGACCAGGGCAGAAAGGCAGAACCCCGTGGGCTGAGATAAGGTCAGTTCAATCGAAGAACAGAGAGAGAAGCAAAAGTAACAAGGACAACGTGAGGAAAGAACAAAGGGCGTGAGGCAGGCGGGGAGGCCGCGGACGCGTCTGCTCGCCCTGCTCCAGCCCCACGCTGCAAACACAGGGCCCCTCCCCTCAGAGGGCACATCAGTGTGGTGCCAGACAGCCCACTGGCTGATCCTTCCTCCTGGTGAAGGTGAGCCCCACCCTAGCCGAACCCCGAGCAGTCACAGCCCCTACACGTGCTGCTGTGGCGGGAGGCAAGCGCACCGGGCTGCTGCGCTGCGCCACACACAGGCTCCAGGCCTCGGCCCCACCAGAGGGACCAGAGCTCCACAGCCAGCAGTGGACACCGCACGGTGCCTGGATAGCATCAGTTTTACAATTAGCTCTCTCAGATTTTACCAGCCAATCTCTCACTCCTCCAAGTAATTTAAGACACTTTTATGAGGCATCTGTGCAAGCCCTTGCCTTGTTCTAAGTCATCCCAGGGGACAGAACAGAAAACTAAAACAAGGCTTTGTAGCTATTTTGTAAACTTACAGTCACTGCATCTGTAAGATGCACAGAGTTGTAGCATTTAGGAAAGTGTTACACCAGCAGCTCAGGTAATTCCTGCCTATTTTCACAGCGACAAATGGGTAACTGTAATCAGCTGCTTCTGTAACCACTACCAGAACCATTTCCTACAGTCCATTGAGCAAGGCCAATGCAATCTCTGTGAAGGGCTATAATTTGCACTGCTTTCAGAGTGCATTTTCTCCAGATAAACAGTTATATGTTTTGTCTTTTCCAAGCCATCTACATAACTAGAAGTTCAAGGCTGTCTGATTTCTCCTATTCCTGTCAGAAGTTCTCAGGTGTACTGCTCACCACTCCACTTCATCAGCCTGCTACTCAGCATGACCCTGCACTCAAGAGGAATAAAAATGGATGGTTTGGGGGTTTGGTATTGAATTTTGATCCAAAACATATATATTTCTTTTTTAATGTAGGCTTATCACACATTTGTAGCTGTTATTACTAATGTTCCAAAACAACTTATCTGGTGCTTAGTAGAACTTAATCCGTGAGGGAAAATATTTACTTGCCAACATGGAAGTGATACAGTATCTCACTTTGAAATAGGACTGCAATGAATTCAGATAAACCACTCTGAAAGAAAAGGTCATCAAACATTGAGAATTTACATTCCGAAATAACTTTTGGTCTCTGTACAGCAGCCCTGAAAACTTGCTTCAGGCTTCTATCTTGAAAATTCCTACCTTGAACCCAGATACAAACTTTAAATCTCTTATTTGTAAGCAATTAAAGAAGTGTTTTGAAGTGAAAAGTTACATCAAAAAAGATTTTCAAAAGTTGTTATAATTGATGTACAGATAAACAAACTGAAAAAACATTTTCATAGGATAGTTCTATACATTGCTAACAGTGAAAAATACATCAGATTCCTAGTGTTCATTTTTTTACTTCCTGCAGTTCAGGAAAATTTCAGATTATAAACACCCAAGACTGGTTAACACCATTATTATGAATTAAACTGCAAAAGAACCAAGTTCCAACACTGTTTTACAAATCCTTAACTGGAGTGGCAGAGATGTTTTGAAGTCAATATCCTTTTCGACAGATTTCCAAGACCATCATGAAATAAACCTCAATGGTAGACAACCTGGATATGCCTTGTCATACAGATCATCATACAAAGAAATATTTCAAAAATTCAGAGATGAGAACCTTGTATGATAAGGGATATTAAAACTCCTTCTTAAAATTAAGATTTGGAAACATTAGGTAAAAAATAGTAAAGGACAAATGTATGTAAGAGCAGCAAATCACAGAATCATAGAAGATTTGGGTTGGAAGAGACCTTGAAGATCCATCTAGTTCCAAATCCCCAGCCATAGGCAGAGGCATCTTCCACTAGATCCCACTGCTCAAAGCTCCGTCCAAGCTGGCCTTCAGCCCTGCCAGGGAGAGGGCACACAGCCCCTCTGGGCAGTCCAGACCCCGTCAGCCTGTCCTCACAGGAGAGGTGCTTCAGCCCTCTGATCATCCTCGTGGCCCTCCTCAAGCAGGTCTGTCTCTTACCTACCCCACAGACACAGCTGGCTATCTTTTACAGGCTGTCAGCAAAAAACTTTGGTTTGTTTTATCAAGCATCAACTCAATTATTTCTGTACAGACTAACACAGAGCTGAGTACAGAACTTCCCCACAAGATGCCCCAGAGCACTCCGTCCACGGGAACACGAGTGCCGAGCACAGCACGGCGTACTGAGCCGAATCCGTGCAGGTACTGAAACACTGGTTTGAGGGACAGGCTAACTGCAGCCAAACCAGGACACTGCTCCCCAACACCCTGCCAGCAGCCAGCAGCCAGATCTCTTTGCCCTCTCCTCTTCAGGAGAGGCTGAAGAGCTCCAGTCAGAATCCCGTCCATCACACAGTTCAGCCCCTGAACCATCTGTCTGCCCGCAGTGGGCTCCCTGAAGGCAGGACTCCAGATGTGGTCTCAGGAGCCACAGTGAGGGAGGAATCACCTCCCTGGAGCTGCTGGCAACATGCTTGTGCACCTAGGCCAATATGCAGCTAAAGATACTCAGGAAATTTGGAAGATGCTCTTCAAAGTTACTGTGAAGGACTATTTTTTTAAATTTCTCTCTCCCTTACCACAACTTAAAATATTTTGCTCACATTGTCTCTCACTAACACACAAAACTGGATTATCGTGAGTCAAAAAAAAAAAAAATCATTACCTAGTCAAAAAAAAAAAAAATCATTAAAAAACAATTCTCTTAAGTGAAGCCCTTGAAGCCTGCATTCATACAGGTTCTACTAGCCATGCTCAGTTTGGCAGTATCATGAGCATATGAAGTAACTGAAAGGTGGAACAGCAACTTCAGACTAGGAAGCACGGGTGTCCAAACCATCTGAACTTGAATTTTGTTAGAAGCTTTCCATTTCCATACCCTTGAATTCCATTTTCTGTGTTGCAATGACATGGGAAAAGAGTAGCCTTTCAAACTCAAACTTTAATCTGGCATGGAGATCAAAGAGGAAGAAAAACTAACTTGTAAACAGTTAAAAGTTAAAAATTAATCCCACAGGAGCTCCACTCTTCTATTTTATGCTGGTAAAGCTGCTGCGCCCTGGTGAGACCTAAGTACTTCTCCAGTAACTACCAGTGATTCTCTTCCAGACCCAAAGAGTTAAAGGTACCCAGCAAACTGCTACCACAAAAGCGCTGTCAGTACTATGGTTAAAGTCCTGGCAAAGAATTTACCTACCACCTATGAGCTGTCACCTTCTCCCCCATCCGAGTTACAAAACACTCCACAAAAGACACCCTTTCTGTTTTGAAGAAGGAAGTTTTTGCATGCAGAAGACAGGTGGTTTTTTTTCCAGGGGAGGCAAACAACAGCAACCACGTGAGGGGCTGCAGGATGTGTTGTCCCAGCACTGCTGCACCGAGCCCCGAGCAGAGCTGCTGCTGCTCTGCTGAACAGCCAGCTAGTCCCAGAGCGTGGCCACTGTTCTCAGTACTCTGATCCTGCCATTTACACATTCCTTACTGAAAGGTATCTCAAATCCAGAATAAGTTCTGAACTCTGGGTAGATAGTCCTGCTTTTCAAAACAAAACTCTACTAAAAAAAAAAAAAAAAAAAAACAAAACCACCAAACCAAGACCCAAAAACACCCAAACAGAAAAAAACCCAAAACATTTTTAACAGCGTACACATTACTGGAACTGATTACATGTTACTCTGATTTGAAACCTAAGTTTAAACACCAAAAAGCTCTTAAAGAGAAGAGAAAGTAAAGATTAAAAATGTTGGCATTAAGAAAGAATTACCTGCCACAGTCCATCCTGCTATGTAAGAAATCTAAAGAAAAGATGACAGTTTCTACAAACTAAAAATTTCTTTGTTTTCTAATCAATCTGGTCATCCAAGAAAGCCCCTGCAGAGTATATCCCATAATTCAGATTAAATCATTTGGCCCAAACTCACAAGCCAACCAGCTACTTGATTATCACAATCCTGCATGAATTTTTCCTAATTGAGGTTCTTCTGGTAAGTTTTTATCAAGGCCCAGAGGAGTCAAGAAAGATAATTGTCTGGATGTGCCAAATTAGAGCCTCAGCAGCTTTAATAACAAATCACGTAACAAAACAGCTTCACAAAATACTCTGTCCGTAAGAAATAATGCCAGGATTTGAATCTGAAGAACTGTTTTTCAGTTTTATCTATTTTTGGCTGAATATCAGGTTTTCAATCTGCGCTGAGAAAGCAGAAGCAGATTAGTCTCCTCCTCCTCACTTCTAATAAAACATGTTAACATCTGGCAGCAGTTCTAATGCTATTTTCCCAGACCAATCCATACCTCCAGTTCCCAATGTCAGTTCTGAATGTTTCTCCCTTTTTAAAGGAGCCAAAAGGCAACGCATGAATCTTTTAACAAGCTACTTACAAGTGAGTTTTCACTACTGATCTTTTGTTTTTCTGAGCATTTGAAAATTTCAGTAGGTTCTGGATTGGAGGGTGGGAGGAGGGATTGTTGATTCCACAGTTGGGTAACAAAATCTTCACACACTCCAAGATATTCTAAAATATTTGACTGGAAGGTCAGAACAGCAGAGTCCTCTTGACAAACTAAGAAAAAATCAACCTGAAATCAGAACTCCAGTAGAATTAAAAATAAATCAGTAACTCACACACACAAATACTCTGTACTCCACAGACTGAAAAGCTTTTTGCCAAGTAATCTGATTTTTCACAATGAACATGTCATTTTAAAGCAAATTAATTGAAATCCACTAATAAAAAATAAAATGAAACTGACAGCTAGTCATCTGCCTTATAAATGGAATC